GGGTCAGTTGACATCGGGAGAAGCTCCAATAGATAGATCTCGTCAAAATACATTGAGATACAAACTGGCCTGGGGGGGTTAGCCACTCCCTAGCCCGCAAATTGGGTTTATATTTTTCCCCAGGAGAAAAAAAATTTTCCCCCGGGGAAAATCGATTACCCCCCCCTTGGGATACAGATTTGTATCTGATCGAAATGAAAAAATGTATGCGCCTTAAATCTAGTCCTTGTGAATGCATTCACATTGTACATGTACAATAGAAAGACGACGTCGCGACCTACCCAGGCAGCTAGTCCTCAAAGAGAAAAATACCACTCTGAAAACCTGAACAAGCCTTAATAAACACAACTGAATCTGTCACTCAATAGCACTACAGATTTACATTTTGCCGTAACACATTAATATTGTAACGAAGAGCCAAAGTTATGCTATTACAATTGTAATGCCAAAATTTAGCATTACCGGTAATATTTAACAATTGTAATAGCTATTACTTGACCCGTCCGTTACAATATTAACATGTTACCTAACATTAACGGTAATAAAATTCTGGAAGTGAGTTTTGGTGGATCCTCAGGATCGTTCAAAACTGCTCCTGGTTCTGGAAGTGGGTTTTGGTGGATCTTCAGGATGGATCAGACTGGGTTTGACAATGCCCTGGTCCATCTTGAGGATCCACTTCCAGAATCAGGAGCGGTTTTGAACGATCCTAAGGATCCAACAAAACCCACTTCCAGAATTTTCTTACCGTTAATGTTAGGTAATATGTTACATTTCTATTAGTGGGACGTAAAAGAACGCAAGTTGGTCCAACTTCGTAGCAATAAAGAGAAGTATGTTTCATTGCAACTAATAATGGTTAAAAGAATGTATGTTCGTTTTTAGCGGGTCCTCGCGGTTTTCCACGGTTTCCGCGGAACTGATAAGAGATAACAACTTGGTGTCTTCGGCAAAGTTGTAGCACCTGAGGTCTTCTATAACATTGCTGAAGACATTTATCTCTTATCTCTTATCAATTCCGCGAAAAGCGCGAAAATGATAAGAAGAAAAAAATTCTATATAAAATTTGTTTTTTTCTGTGCGCGATTTGCGCGCAACTGATAAGAGATAAGAGATAGATGTCTTCAGCAATGTTATAGAAGACTTCGAGTACTACAACCAGACGTGTGCAAGGTCAAAAATTCTAGGGGGGTAAAATGATTTTTCCAGGGGGGGTTTGGAAATCGATTCTATCTAGTGTAAAACCAGTCTCCGAAAAAAGTGAGGACTAAAAAAAAAAAAAAAAAAGGTCCTCACTTTTTAAAATCGATTCTATCTAGTGTAAAACAGTCAAAATTCCACAATGGGGATCTAAAATTTTGCCAATGGGTGTCCAAAAACAAGTGAAGACCTAAAAAAAAAAAGGTCCTCACTTTTGAAAATCGATTATATCTAGTGTAAATTTTTCCACATCGCTGGGGGGGGTCCACATTTTGGAATCCTAGAGGGGGGTAAAACCGGAATACCCCCCCCTTGCACACGTCTGACTACAACTTTGCCGAAGATACCAAGTTGTTATCTCTTATCAGTTCCGCGGAAACCATGAAAAATCACGGAGGCTAGACGGGATGCCAACATACTTCCTTTCAACGCAAATAGAATCAACAGAAAACATACTTTCCTTTTCAAAAATATAAATCGACAAAAAAACATACATTCTTTTACGTCTCACGAATAGATTTGGCATTACATTGCGTGTGTAATGTTAGAAAATCGTATTAATAATGTTAGAATTCTGGCATTACCGTTAATGTTAGGTAACATAGTAATATTGTAACAGACGGGTCAAGTAATAGCTATTACAATTGTAATAACATTACATGAAATTTTTGTTAACGTAATGCTACTACCTACTACATTTTTAATGCCGGTAAATCTGTAAATAGCACCTCAAATGCGGTTTGATTTTAGCGCGAATTTATAATGTAAATACACCACATAACTTCATAAACAAACCACGGACTTGACATAACCTCAAAAGTGGTTTGTTTATGAACTGATATGGTGTATTCACATTATTATGAAATTCATACCACTAAAATCAAACCACATTTGAGGTGCTATTCAGTGACAGATTCAGTTGTGGTTATTAAGGCTCGTTCAGGTTTTCAGAGCAGGTATTTGCAAGAATTCAAAATTGTAAAGCAAAAATGTGCCTTTGAACCTGATAATGAAGAAAAATATGATTTCATGATTAACTTTACCTTAAAAATCTCATGCCTCGAAAACTATTGGCATCCAGGCGCTTGATTTTATTACCAGACATGTTAAGGAGACGTAATACGGAATTGCGAGCAAAAGTACCCCTATAAATAAAGATTCGAGTCAGAAATAATCAAGTGATCATATCAAGAATAATTTACCTCGCAATTTCAGTGATGGCATTGTATGAAATATTGCAGAAACTTAATTTTGTCAGGTCAGCAATATGAGACGAATCCAATTTTGTAATTTCATTATAGCTAATATCAAGACTTTCCAAATCACGTAAATTTTTAAACTGATTCCTTTTGAGTTCTTTTATTTGGTTTCCATGTAAATCAAGAGTTTTCAATTTTCGTAGTGACTAAATTTTTAAGGATCCCAACATGCGATAAAAATGTTCAATTTAACAAAGGAAAACTGACTAAAAAGTAAAATCAGTTGTAACTTATCTAATTTTAACGGTTTTCAGTACCTGTAAAAATTCAACGCTAACTTCAGTAAGGTTACCGTTTGATATATACAAACGCTCTAACGTTTGACTAATTGGCCCATCAAATGCCATTGAGTCTAAGGTTTTGATTTGATGTTTATCCAATTTGAGAGATATTAGCTTGCCTAGAGTCTGAAACAAATAAATTAGGGAATCTTGTTATAATAATTAGACACCTCTCTCTTTTACTATAACTTTTGAGCCACTGAAGGATTTTAAAATTTTTTGTATTTTTCGAAAGATGTTGTATCTTTCTCAAAATGTACAGTGCACCCCCGCAAATTAGAAAACCTCAGAAATTAGAAATGAATTTCAGGTTTGAAAATTTGTATGGAAAATTTCTAATTTCCGGGGTTCATTTCTAATTTACGGGGTTTCCGAATCATTTCATTCGAGACAAAGGGAAATTTAGTTCATTTTCAATGAAAAAACGTAATGAAAAACTTTTCCATTTCGTTGAATAACTATATTAGCAGATAAGCTGAGATTTTCGACGTTTACCATGAAGTCAAAAACTAAGTCACGAAGTAATCTGTTCCATTGTCTGCGTTAATCATCAATTATTAACAAATCGAAACCGATTTGTTCCATCAGAGAATTTGCATATATGTATATACATATGTATATGTATAATATATATTTATATATAAAAAAACTGAGTTCAAATTTTGTTTACCTTGAACGATATCGGGAAGGTATTGAGTGATGTGTTCATCAATTCAAGCTCTGTTAAGGTTTCGTTGGCCCCATTAAATACATATTCATCAATATTTTCAATCGGTGTGCTACGTAAGAGGATCTTATGTACATTTAATTTAAGGAATACTGTTCCAAACAATATATCTGAAATTATGTAGTGTGATATTTTAATGAGAGAAATCGCAACAAGTAATATATGAAAGCAATTAAAGATAGGCGATTGTTGTCGAAGGGTATATATGAAATTATAAATAAATAAATAAGAAATTTTATGAAAGTTTGCTGATTCAACGTTCCGTTTGTGGCGAGAAAAAAGTTTCTTAGGCCCTCAGACGCGCTAAGCTTAAAACCGTTATAGTAAACTTCCGATTAAATCCCATTTCAAATGGGCCATTTGAACACACGCTTATAATCTCGCATTTATTGTATACAGAATTCGAAGTGTGAAATTGTGAGGCGCCGTGGATTTCATGCGACAAAATTCAGTACTAATTGGTGTGATTGAGCTGTAAATAGCCGTAAGTGATTTCGACATATTGTGAAATACCACAAAATCACACCAAGTAGTACTGAATTTTGCCGTACGAAATCCACGGCGCTCTACAATTGTTCAAAATTTGACAGTAAAAGGGTGCATTTGAATGAGATTATAATTATTAATCGGCAGTAGGATTTTTTGTATTTGCATTTTACACAGTACGCAGCCGTTTTGTTATGATTGTAATCGAATTGACATCGCTTTCATTTGTCTAATTTGACAGTTCGCTGTCAGTGTGATAAACAATTTCATCTCATTGGAAAAATATACATTTAGGTAATATTTATTTTGTTAAATTTACATGAAATGTGCAACTAATTTTGAATGAAATGTATTTCAATTGTTGATGGGCCTATTCTGACATAGTCTGATCTCGTTGATCCTGACCCCTGCTGGCGAAAATTGACCCCCAACGATTTTGTTGGACCCATTGTCATTTTCCAACTTTGTTTTCAAAAGTGAGGACCTTTTTTTTGCTCCTCACTTTTGCCTCCGAGGGATCATTAAACACTAGATAGAATCGATTTATTTGACCCATTTTGGACAATAATTTGACCCATCATTGTTTTTGGAGAATGATTTCACACTAGATAGAATGCATTATTTGACCCATCAGTGATTTTGAAGAATGATTTTACACTAGATAGAATCGATTTTCAAAAGTGAGGACCTTTTTTTAGGTCTTCACTTTTTTCCCGATTCCGATTTTACACTAGATATTTAATTATTAATTTTTGGTCTGACCCCCCCTGAAATTTTTGGTGTCAGAATCTATGTGGGCCTTGCCCGAAATATATCGGTCAATTAGCAACAAAGTGCATTTTTATTCATAAACGGGTGTATGGAGGCAAAACAAAACCAAACTGCATTCCATACAGTGTTTGTAGTACACCTGCTAGCACCAGTTTATGCCTTCGGTGCCATTTATGTACATTGTACATGATATATGGCAACTGTCAAAAGTTGCCATAGCGTCGTTTCTACCAGTGATCAGAAATTCCTCGAAATATGTCCGTCCATCCGTCCATCCGTATGTTCCACTATAACTGTGATTTATTTAATTCATGGCTCTCTTGTTATATATGCCGTTTGATTTCTCGCAGCCTGGAGAAGGTTTTCGGATATGCAGTTTGTTTCGATTTTCAAATTAAATTTTTTGGAGTTTGACAAAAATATTTTTCATCTTTTTTCTGTTAGTATATGTATGTGTGTCCTTTGGTTATCAGTTTGTAAAATGGCATTCTCATGAGCCCGTTAGGTGCTCTGCGTAGCGACAATTATTCATACAGGGTTGTAGTACATTTTTGTGGAAAATATAAAAAAATATTCTATACTAGCAGAATCGCTACGCTCAGCTCATTAAATTCAAAAAATTGCTAATAAGAAGCATAATACCAATATATTGAATCTTGGAATGACATCAAAGTGGACCTCATTATCTTTAATTTAAGCTATTACATGCATTGATATTATGCTTCTAATCAAAATTACGTCACTTTGGAAAATTAAAAAAATATTCTATATATACATACACCACAGGCCATAAGTTTGGATACCCCTATGAATGAATTTGGCCCAAAATTTTTAAATTTCAAACCGCTTGTCCAATTTCAACATGCTATACGTCGTTGGAAAGGTCTCGGAGAGTACGTATCATTTTTGGTATTAAACATCAAAATCGGACAGCTTTTGGCCAAGATATGGCTGATTGAAGATTTCGGCCAAAAATTACAAACGGCCATATCTTGGCCAAACGCCGGCCGATTTTGATGTTTAATACCAAAAATCACATCTACTTTTCAAGACCTTTCCAATGGCGTATATAACTTTTTAATCCGATGGCCCGTTTAAGACTTCGATTTTGGCTCCCACAGCTCAAAGGCCAAAAGATGGCCATAGGCCGGCCAAATGTTATCTTCCAAATCATCCATTCGGTCAGAATTTTGATATATTTTCATATCCAATACTAAATTTCAAGTGAAAATGTTCAAAAAACGTAGAAACAAACGTTTCAAAGGGGTATCCAAACTTATGGCTTGTGGTGTATATTAGGGTGGTTTTTTTCGGGTCATTTTCGAAATTCAAGTGTGGCGATTCATTTTCATAGGAGGTTGGACATAAAAATGAGCCCTGTAAATTTTCAGTGCGATCGCATAACGTGCCTCATCGAACTCAAAGTTTGGATCTTGGGTCCAAAGGAATTCCACCAAACTATGCAACCAAAAAACCCACTTATGGTACTGCGATCACCATGAAACTTTCAGAATCTTTTTATTTCACTGAAAAATGAAATGCCTGAAAGTGTCAGGTGAATCGAAGCATAATTGAACGGTTTGGAGCGAAAATTTAATACAGAAAAGTTGAGCGGAAAAATGTCGATGATGAATGAGCGGAAAAGGGATAGCTATATAGTAAACTGTATAGTAAACTACACACACGAAAAAAACCTTCGAATTGTATAAAGAAATACGTCTAATATATGCCGTTAGTAGGTTTCCTTCCAATATTCCCATGTATTGACAGGAATCCTACCAAACAACACATATACGCACATACAGTCATTGGCGCATACACAAACGTCATAGATGAGTTGACGTTTGTGTATGCGCCAATGACTGTACATGCGTATGTGTTTTGTTTAGTAGGATTCCTGTCATTATATGGGAATTTTGGATGGAAATCTACTAACGTCATATTTTAGACGTATTTCTTTGTTTGATTCAAAGGTTTTTTTCGTGTGTGTATAGTGAACTATATAGCTATCCATTTTCATTTGACATTTTTCCGCTCAACTTTTCTGTATTACATTTTCGCTCCAAACCATTCAATTAGGGGTAGCTCCCATGCAATTATTCTAATTTTCATCATAAAATCGACCAAAAAAGGCAATTTTTGTATGGGAGGTACCCTTGAAACATTTTCGATTGGCCGGATTTAAACTTTGGGCCATCAAAGCAGCCAGGTGTATACACTCTTTTGAGGGAGTGACATAATGGTCGGTTTTGCCGAATTTCCAAGCCGTTTTTGAGATATTTCGATGCGTAAATATCTACCAATATAAACTTCAGCGATCAACATCAACAGAGACACTATAGCACATAGCATTAAACGCACTATTGCTTCACACTTTGTACACACTTTGGCTTTGGCGCGCGTCGTACGTTTTTCAAACGTTTATGTTTGATTCAAGTATTTCACCGATTTCACCGAATTTTCTTACTCAATGTCAATATATTCATTCTTACTTGGAAGTTTTTTTTTATTGCAATGATTTTTTGAAATATATTTTGTCGAGAAATATTTTTTTTTTTCAATTTCCAAAATTAAATGAAATTAAAACACATAGCATGAAACGTATTCATAGTAGAAATGCAAGTGTATTAGTGTGGGTATCCGAATCGAATGCAGAAAATAAAAATACAGAAAGAAAAAATGCAGAATTCATTTTTGCAGAAACCCAAAAACGCAGGAAGAAAAAATGCAGAAAAAAAATTTGCAGAAAAGAAAAAAATGCAGAAAACCAAAAACGCAGAAAAATTGAAAAAAAAACGATTTTTTTCGAAAATTCTTTGACTATAATAGATTTGAACGAAATTTCATTTCTATATGGCTCTTTTATACTGAGAAAATACATGCACTTCACTTTCTAGCAAATAGCACAAGTCCACCAAAATGTTTGAATTTTTTGTTCATTCTATGGTTTAATGAAGAAAAAAGAGGTAGGTTAACTCCTATATATTTTTCTCTCTCTTCTCTTTCTATTCTGACGTCATGATGAATGTTCGCCGTTGATTCGTTTCGACTAGAGAAGGAATGATGACGTCATGAATTGCTCAATTTGCTTCAATCAAAAATAACGTGATGATAGGAATGAATTGGAAAGTTCACTGTTTTACACTTGGTGGGACAACTGTGCTGGGTCGAAGTAAACATATGAACGCGTCATAACCAAAAGAACAATCACTACCCAACACTCTCTCATGATGGGACTCTCATCAATTTGGTCATTCAAAGGATAACATGCATACAATTTATCGGTCCCAATGAGAATTTGGTTGCATGCTTTTTTGTTGCCTTTCTCCGGTTTTTCTTCTTGTTTGTTTTCTTATTTGTATGGAATTCTGAGCCATGCTCATGAATGAGACGACATACGTCAATAACTTTCTCTGTAGAACAATTCGCATGAGGGAGAAGAGAGAGAAAAATGTATAGGAGTTAACGTACCTCTTTTTTCTTCATCAAACCGTAGAATGAACAAAAAATTTAAACATTTTGTTGGACTTGTGCTATTTGCTAGAAAGTGAAGTGCATGTTTTTTCCCAGTGTAAAAGAGCCATATTGAAATGAAATTTCGTTCAAATCTATTGTAGTCAAAATTTTTTTCGAAAAAATCGTATTTTTTCAATTTTTTGCGTTTTTGGTTTTCTGCATTTTTTTCTTTTCAAAAATTTTTTTTTCTGCATTTTTGGGTTTCTGCATTTTTAGCACTACATGGAATGTAAATTAATTCTTTTTCCTATCCAAAGTTCTAATTTGAAATGAAGCAATTACGTCTAATTACAAAAATGAAATAAAATGATGTACATTGTACACGTAATTCTCTTTTGAATCTCAGAAAAAAAAATTCACATTATTTTAATTCTCAATGTGAAATAATGTACAATACATAAAACCCATTATTAAAGATTACAATATAAAATATAGAATTATAATTTTATTCAATTGATTGATTTATTATTATTTATAATATCAATATTATTAATAATTTTTGTTTTATTGGTACTTGAACTTTCTCTTTTTCCCTTCTTGACTGAATTACGTAAATTAACAATTTCCACCATGACATCGTCGATTAGTCATCTTTCCGTTTAAATTTTTTTTAAATGTTTTCATTTACCACTTAAGAGGTGAATTCGGATGAATTAACATAAAAGCATACCAAAGCTTGAAATATTTCGTTAATGCATGCATCGCGCTGCTCATCGTAAGTGTGAAGAGTATAACGAAAAAAACAGCGACTCTGTGTGTGCAGAATCGTTATTGTGTATTTATGCGTTTCGTTGAACGCAATGCGTGAAAAATATCTGTTATTTTTATGCGATATTTTTATCCCATATGAATAAAAATATCCCATAGTAATCTCTGATCCAAATCAATACTTTCATAGAAAATCAAGATCAAACTGCCAATACCCATAACTTTTTCTTTTTTGGACCAATCGGGGCACTTAGACCGGCGTTAGAAAGGTGGCGAGGAGGAGCTTTTCTTGGACACCTCAGACCACCCCCTGGGTACCCCCTTCGTAAGATATGGGTATAGATTTTAAAATTTATCGAAATTTTCCAACCGCTATATTTTTGCCTCGACCACACTTTAAGCATGGGGTATGGTATTTCCGACTATTTGGGCCAAGACCATTCCAACGGTACCTAACATGCCAGGGCCCAAATAGTGCCCTGAGAAAATAGCATACTTACTGTATATATACTCGTGACGCAAAAACTGGCATTTTTGATATTTGGCTTGAAATGCACAGTCTATGGTGCGTCGCTTGTCGGACTACCGTCCTCCGTGATAGTAATAGAGTAATATATTACTGTGCTATTACTTCTTCGAATTTTTTTTGGCCATTCTAGGGTATGGGTATGGGGTTAATAAGTAATACTGATAATTTATTACCTATTACTTTACTTCTATACATTTTTCCCGACCCAACATAGATAGAGTATTTTTAACTCTGAAGAAAATGGCGCAGTCGAGGGTTAACAAAAACTCGTCTTTTTTTATTACGAATTTAGATCATTTTTATGACGACTTTCATGGTGTTTCGAATCATATAATATATTCCGATTTTTTGTACATATTTGCTATGACATTTTATGACGTTTTTCATTTTCCTTAAATATTGGTCATAAATACTTTCGTAAAATATACGATTGGTAAACATACATGCACGCATGTATTTTTAACACTATGACGGTTCTTCTGACATTTCACATATTCCTGTTCTTTGGGGACCCCAGGGCCCCATATGTACTTCATATGAAATCTGGACTGTGATAAGAGATAACAAAATAGTGTCGGGGGCAAAGTTGTAATGCTCGAAGTTTGCTATAATTTTGCTGCAACAAATATTGCTTATCCCTTATCAGTTCCGCGAAAAACGCGAAAAACCGCGAAAATCGCGAAATTTTCCCACCTTAGTTTTAGTGAAGCTGATAAGAAGTAAGAGACTTGCTTCTTCGGCAGAAATGTAGAGCAGGCCGAATACTACAACTTTGCCACAGACACCAAGTCGTTATCTCTTATCAGTTACGCGAAAAAATGATAAGAAAAAATTCGCGGTTTTCGCGGTTTCCGCGTAACTGATAAGAGATAACGACTTGATGTCTATGGCGAAGTTGTAGAACTCAAGCTGCTCTACAACTTTGCCGAAAACCATCTTGTTATCTCCTATCAGTTTCGCGGAATACGCGAGAAACCGCTGAAAACCGCGAAAAAACGCGTTTTTTCTTATCATTTTTCACGGAACTGATAAGAGATAACGAGATGGTGTCTATGGCAAAGTTGTAGCTCTGGTCGAGTACTATGATTTGCCGCAGACCCCAAGTCGTTATCTCGTATCAGTTACGCGAAAAAATGATACGACTTGGTGTCGTAGTAAAGTTGTAGTACTCGACCAGAGCTACAACTTTGCCATAGACACCATCTCGTTATCTCTTATCAGTTCCTTGAAAAGTGAGAAACTATGAATTCGCGTTTTTCACGTTTTCACGGCTTTTCGCGTAACTGATAAGAGATAACGACTTGATGTCTACGGCGAAGTTGTAGTACATAAACTAGTCTACAACACTGCTACAGACACCAAGTCGATATCTCTTATCATAGTCCAGTTATAATATAAAATAGCCATGGGGCCCTGTGGTCCCCAAAGAACAACCGCGTAACATGTTTTGCGGCAGGCTGTATTTTACACATACTCACACATATGCATATGTTTTTTTTTTCATTCGTGTAGAGAAATGTTCAATCTATACAATGAGACTTGACTCCGTTTGATTTATACACTGTTTAGTACTTTTATTCAACTTTAAATTTCGCTTGTGGCCCTGGATTCCCCAAGAACCGTCATAGTGTTAAATTTGACAACTAAAAATAAAAATAAAATAAAAAATAAAAATGCAAAATTAAATACCGAAATTAGATCTCTTGATGTGCAAAGCATCAATTGGAACCTTTTGATCAGCAATATTGGCCAAAGCAACTGACAGGCTTGCCAGGTTTGTGTTTAAGCACTCGATAGTAGTCCCAATATTCGTTACCTTTGTACACTTGCATGGATGTATGGTTAAGGGGCTAAAAAAGGAAGAACAAACATTATATTCTCTCAATTCGAGTAAATAGACCTACATTACAGAGATCTTATTTTGCAACAGAGTAAAGCGCAATCCAAAACCTTTCAGCGTTTAGTTTTCATTGCTTTTGAAAGTTCACTAACTTGAATCGTGAATGACGTTCAAAATAACATTTCTGACAAATGCTATTTCCAACATTTGGGGAAACCTTACGACGAAAGCATTTACTTATACTTCCAAAAAAATCCGTTTGGATGCCGTTATGCATTGATGGCTGAATATGATCCATTAACGCTTCACTTTGTTATTATTTTGTATACGGCTATATTACTTTTCCGTACACACCGTGTCAAGGAATATATATATAAATAAGGAATTGGTTCTGAAAACTTTTTTCACAAAATTAGCTTAAATCATCGTAAAAACTCATGAAACGTGTAGAAAACCACTTTTTGAGACGTTCTCTGTTCGTGTGCCGTCGTCGTTTTCGTCGTTGTCGTTGTCGTTGTCGTCGTTGGTGTTTGTTAACACGATAACTCAAAAAATTATTGGGATAATCAAAATCTGGAAATGCCAAAAGTTTTTTATCCGAAAAACTTAGTTTAAGTTCGAAGATGAGCCATTTTCAATTTGATCCTGGGTTTCAACTTGCCCTAGGAAAAACCTCAGAAAATTGACACTTTTGTATGGGCGGTACCCGTAAATCGACTCCTATTAACTTCAAACTTTCTGAGGTTTCATTTTTTAGAGAAAAAATAAGATTCTGAAAGTTTGAAGCCAATCGGAGTCGATTAACGGGTACCTTCCATACAAAATTTTCGAAATTTCGACTAAAATGACCGATTTTTCGATTCCGATTGGCTTGAAGCTTTCAGAGGTTTCATTTTTTAGAGAAAAAATAAGATTCTGAAAGTTTCATGTTGAAGTTTGGTTTTTGTCGAAATTTTCTTGGAAAAAATTGAGGGTCAAAACCAAATTTGTGCAAATGCGATCAGCGTGAAACTGTTAGAATCTCATTTTTCGCCAAAAAATGAAACCAGGGATCGAAACCAAGCCAAACCGAATATTTGGTTTGAGTGTGTGAATAGACCAAACCATTCGGAACATTCTGAAAAATGGTTTGTATGGCATACAGAAACGTTTATGCTTACATGTACAATATACATAGTATACGATACTAACACAGTGACAACACGCTTGAATGTTGCTCAGACAAACCATTCTGATGCGGTTTGCTCCGATGAACAGAGAGCAAAGCAGTGAAACCGTTCCGAAATCGGTTTGTATGAGAAACGTCAAACTGTTTTCGATCCCTGAATGAAACCTCAGTAAGTTTGAAGCCAATAGGAGTCGATTTACGGGTACCTTTCATACAAAATTGTCGAAGTTTTAACTGAAGTGATCGATTTTTCACTAGAAAACTGCCTTTATTCAAGAAATTTCACAAAAAATAACCAAAAGTGCGGACAACGGTACGGTTTTGTTACGCGTTTTTCCTATTTTGCCTATCCTTAGCCTATTTTGGACCGGTGACAATTCGGCTTCTATAAATATTTTCATGTTTGGTTATTTGCTAATATCCCTATGTACATTGTACAGACGTGTGCAAGGGGTGGGTTTTTTCGGTTTTATCCCCCTCATCTAAGATTTCAAAATCGAAGACCTCCATCTGGCGATTTTAACTAGTTTACACTAGATAGACGACGATGCCACACCAAACTATTTTAAGTACCGGCTAGCACGAATTAAGTGCGAAATTCAGCATTTCACGAGCTACCGTGCAGAGATCTCATTTTGTATATGCCTATATTTCGAGCTATTAGTAGTTGCTATTTATAGGCGATAGCTGTTGAGTGTTGATGTTTTGAAATAGCAGCTATCGAGTTCGCAGTACAAAATTCCAGATTTGGGAAGTCAAATTTGAGGCTGATCCGAGCAGAATTTGGCAAAAATAATGCGATTTAGGATTCCCATAGGAAATGAGTACTGGAGGATTTTACTTCCAGAACACATTGAACCTGGTCAGGTTCACCTCCTCCACAAGATTCACTTCCAGCTCCGCGAATATTTCATGAACCCTATTTTTTAATACAAGCCGAAAACAAAACTAGTAAAAACTTTTGAAATATTGGCTGAGCTGGTCGGAAAACGACATTAATTCCAAAATATTCGAATCATTGAAAGGTTCGCACAAAATCACATTTATGGCATAGGAAACACACTAACGATGGCCTGTTATGGATCTATTTCCACCTAATTTTTGACGCGGAATCGATTTAGAATTAATTCAATCCTGCCTGATGGATCCAAATGGTCGAAAAATGGCCATGCTCCAGCTTATGTAAAATTTTTCACATGGGGGTCACCAGATTGACTTGGTACTAGTCTCACTTTGGGGTGAACGATCACATTTCCTAACAAAGCCGGAATATTTTTGCTGATATCGCCAGTCGTTTTGGAGATATGAGGGTTCAAAGTTGGAGAAATCCTGAAAAAATCGATTTTTATCTCTGCATGGGCTTGGAATTTAATTATGATTTTTTCAGTTTGTACAGCTTGACGAGCTCCATCGATTGGGACTATTAGCCACCAGATCTGGGTGGGTTCACCCACACCAGATGGTTCCAAAGTGTGGACCAATTTTTTTGTCTTTTCACCAGGATGGTATTATCAGCCAAAATAGGCCCATATAAAATTCGTGGCAGAAAAAGTTGATTTTTCGACCAGATACGATACCCAGACCAGCATAATTGTATAAAAATTAAGTTTCCGGTTTTACCCCCCATCTAGGATTTGAAAATCTGGGACCCACCATCGAGCGATTTGGAAAATTTTACACTAGATAGAATCGATTTTCAAAAGTGAGCACTCTCAAAAATCAGCCATATCTGTTATTAATATACCTTGTAGTAAACGCGTTTATAGTGTTTCACTGTAGTAGCAAAGTATCCTATTAAATTCCACTGTAGTATTACTACAAGAAAATTTAATAGGTAACACCGCTACTACAGTGAAACACTATGAACGCGTTTACTACAAGGTATATTAATAACAGATATGGCAGGATTTTCGAGAGTGAGGACCTTGTTTTTGTCCTCACTTTTTTCAGAGACCGGTTTTTTAGGTCTTCATTTTTTTTTTGATATAACACTCATATTTTTTGTGAAAATAATTGGATTTGTGAGCAATAGAACATTAATATGCCCATCGATTTGGTGTTGAACCCGAATTTTGTCTGGAAATTCTTAGTTTTGCATGGGAGATAGCCCGAATATGCCTTACTCGGTACTTTTGGCACATAGAACTTCTACTTTTCACCAAAAAAATGGGCGTCTACGAACAATAGAATACAATTTTTCCCATCATTTTCGCCTCAATTTGTCTTTTTCATACAAAAATTCATTGAAAAACGACACTTTGGATTCATTACACATAATATGCATTTGCCGCCGGCCATCTTTTGGTTTGAAAAGTCATTTATATTCTAAAATATTTGTCAGATTTGCAAATATTGGAATATTAGCTAAAATTGCAAACAGTTTGTTGAACAAACTTTGTTCACAGATACGTGCCAATATGTACCGATTTTTGAATGATCAACACCTCTAGGAATAGTCTCGAAAATAGTTTTCCGCATAAGTTCTTTATCAATAGTAATATTCGGAATTTTTGAGCTATTACGGCAGAATCAATTTGTCCCAATTTCGCGTACCAACTTTTCAAGATTCACATTCAACTACGCATAGAAATAAAAGGCAGACGTTATTTGATCAATCAATAACTAACATACAACAACTGTTAATGTATGTATTAGGGGAAAACGGAGTGAGCCGGGACACCTCTTTCCTCTTCCTAATTTTTGGAACCCATTTTTTAAAAATAAAATAAAAATAAATTACTTTTTGTGAAGGCTAGAACATATCTTCATAAAATCAATCATTTCGATACTATATAATCCACCTTGTGGACGTTTGGATAAAAATATCGACCAAAATATTGTCACTATTGAATCAATAGTATTGATCCACTTGCATTCAAGTGTTACAAAGTGTTATTCTCGGAAGCAAACCCAATAGTACGTTGGAAAAAATACTTGCTGAAAGCATTTCACTTGCAAAGTCGGTTCCAGCCTAGATTTCCAAGAAGTGTTTTTCACTCTTTACGACTACACTGAATGACTTTTGCTGTGCGTGCTAATACGTGCATTTAGCAATGAAGCGGAATATGTAGCGAGCGCACCATGCATCCTCGTCTAATACCATTGATTTTATATATAAAATAACAAAAAGAAACGACAAAAGTGACCTCTCGTAGCGGCACAGTTGAAACTAACGAAACAAACACAATTGAACATGTCATTTTCATGTTCAGTGTTGGTTCTGTTGTTTACCGTATAGCCGGAGAGAGATGTCTACAGCTTAGTGGCGTTGAATGACATTCAACACCCATGGCACCATGTTCATTACGTTGACTGTGTCATAAAAAATATATCCTAATAATATGAAATAAATGATTCTTCGACGCAACAGAAGTAATTTTATTTTCATTTTAGTTCAAGTTATAATTATTATTACCTTTCTGGGCACCTATATTCATCTTCATTGGAATGAATTTGGGTTGTCAAGTTCAGAAAAACAATCAGAACAATGCTCCACCTATTAAGCAACGATTGTTTTGACATCTTTCCACTAGCCGCACAAAACGCACGAATTATTTTTAAACAAAAACCAGTTTACTATTTCAATGAAAACACAATTAATTTTATATTATTAATATTATTAATATTAATATTATTATTATATGGTACAAAAATAACAAAGAAGGAAAATTATATCAAAATGCACATTGAATAGTTAAACTTTGATAGATGGCGCCAATGGCATTTTTTATGCCGCTTCCCTTATCGTATGAAAAATAGTCTAGGATGAGAAAGTTTTTAGTTTTGCTGCAACAGTAAAATCTTTCGAAAGATCGTTGATATTGAGTGGATCACAGAATGTTTTTACTACAATTTATAGTTTTATAAAATCATTGCGAGTTAATTGGTGTTAACTAATTACATTTCGGCATACAAATATTTTTTATGGTAGTGCTTGGTTCCAATCATTTACAGTGACATCCATCTTTGATATTTAAAATGTCTCTTGAAAAACTGGCTTATGTTAAAATGCACCTAGTAATTCCTGCTCTGCAATTATATTGTCTATTGCCTAACCAGTAAACACATCATGGTAAGTGTGGCTGAGTATATGAATCAGTTTGAAACTCTTTATGGTAAATCTTGATATTCTCATTGCAGATTATGTTTGAATTCATTATGAAATAATTAAGACCTGAAAGTATTGTTTGGTTATTTCATTGATGGGGATATATTTTATAGTTCACACAAAAGCTACATAAACCAACCGAAATCTAACGTTTAAGAGAAGCAAATTTTAAAACAATTTCAACAACAAACTCAATAGTAAATATTGAAAATCTCACTTCCACATTATAATATTAGATTGTACTCAATGAACAAATGTCTTGCAAACGAAGAGGTTCGCAACAGTATACCACTCATAGTAATAACCATATATGATACTGAAGGTGGGGAGCATTAGTAATGGAGAAATTGTAGTGAACCATGTGATGAATTTATTTATTCTTTCGAAATATTTGAAATTACGAACGAAAATAGCGCTAAACAAATTAATTTTTCTATCAATCCGAAATTTTTTTAAATTCATGTATATTGTATATAGATAGATGTATGTGAAACTAAAGACCTAAAGTCCCATACACTTATTAATTATTTGTTATGGAATAATGTTAAATAAATGTAAATTCTGTCCATGCATCTCGTTACACCAAACAAATCCATTAATATCTTTTTCTTTTCATTTTCTCCTTCCAATACATTTAGTTTATACTTAAGCAAACCTAAAGCAACATTTGACCATATATTGAGTGTTTGCATTGTATTGGAAATATTGTAGATGGCGTCACGTTAATAGTGCAATAATTTTTTCCGTTAGCAAATTAAACAATGAATTTTGCTGTCGTCACTGCAAAGCTAATTGTACTTCATGTACTTTTTATAGATAAATTTCAATTCTTTTTTTACCGTTACATGGAACGTACATTATACAATGTACAATTGTACGCTTCGTTTTTTTTCTCACTCGGGATTCAAAATGTTGAATTTTCATTCCAAACCAGATTCTGGTTTTATGTTTAAATATTATCTGTGACTAACTACAAATTTTGATTAAAACGTCATCACCAATACGATACTTGAAAATGTTCATTTCCATACATTATGATGTAGTCTTGTAGTCTGTGATGTATTGGTTGGTGTGGTAGCATTTAATTCAATACAGAAGCTAAGCTGATTTGTTGATTTTCGGTGACCTGAACATTATTGTATTGTATATGCTATCTATCTAATCCAAACATTGTAATGTAGTGAACTATATTTCATGTAACGCCTCAATTATTGTTTGTTATGCAATAACAAATTAGACCTAAATGAGTCTTCTTAGTAGATTCTAACAGACTCTACCCCTAGCGTACAATTTTTCTTGTTTATTCCTGTGAATTGGGGGTGAATAAATAAATTTAAAAAATAAAACTTCATTTTCTTAACATCTTTTATTGTTTTCCTTTTCATTGATTCTTTGTCTACGTGGCATCAACACATTGTATGTTGAAAAAGAGTGAAACATTGTCTCGTACTTTTATTTTAATGTTGAACAATTCATCTTGTATCATATTGCCAAAGATTTGTAATGTACTTGGAAGCTGGAAAAGTGGAAAAAAATTAAAATTAGTTTAAATAAAATAACTTTATCTGCTATTGAATTGCAACATTTTGGAATTAACAGAGTTGAAAAAACAAACATATGGTTAAAGTCTTGAACAATATATGGCTAATATAATTCTGTTGTTTGAAAACTCTCAATACCTTCGCAAAAATAGCAGTTTTCCAACGAAAATCGTTTATTTTGATTATTTTCCATATAAAAGTATTTATTTTTGCAGGTTTTACTTGAGGCTTAAATACCGTTGATACTAAATGTCTAAATGATTGGAAGCGGTTCCAAATTTCTTGGTTTTAGGTCGCAACACAGTAAAGCTGTCCGCTCTTATCAATCTCAATCAATCATTTTGAGCAATTTGTGAAAATGAACTAATAATATACCTACATATTATTTATAAGTGCAAATTTATTATATAATCCTAATGAATTCAAATAAATACCTGAATACTTCCAAAACACATGGACAATTGTTTCGTATCAATGTTACAACAAATCTCTCTGGACTGGCCATCTTCTACCATGTTGCTGTTGTCTTCATTCATTTGATCTAGGATTAAATTGAAGTAGCGACTTACAACTATTGCTGAATCAGTTTCAACAATAAATGATAAATCACCGGATGATATACAGCATATTGTGATGGTTGCTGCAAGATTCTTCATTTTGTCACAAAGAGTTCGCAAAGATTTTAGTGATGGCATTTGAATAGATATCTATACGAGAAAAAATTACCGATTGTTAATTATGGGAAAATAAATAAAGACTTCCTAAAATATCAATCACTGAAACGATTGAATTGCCGAACATCATCTCTGCTACACTCACATTTATGCATATGCTTTTAAATGGGAGTATAACACGTAGTGTTAAAGACCATGGTGTAGAACTTCATGGTTTATTCAAAATTCTGATCCAAAAAATCTTCTTACATCAAAGTTTTTAAGCACAGGTTGATGATATTCATTCCATTCTCTAACTGGTATTATCGAAACAGGCAGATCATGCACAAGCCGTCTATAATTATTGGAGTTTTGTGGTGCCTACAAATGTAAAAATCTTTAAATTCCTACAATAATTATTTTTCTTTATATTTTTGGCTATGAGTCTTGCTGCTTTTTTTATGCAATGTGTTTATTTCAGCAAAAGAAGCATTTTGATATCAAGTATTTAGTAACTGAGATATTCAATATAAAATTGTATGTTTATAAACATTTTTCTTAAGATTGAATTCGATAAAAATATTTCTTTTGTTGAGAGACATGTTTTGCACCTAAAACATAGGAAACATAGCCAAAAAGACTTTCAGAAAATCTTCATTTTCATTTTTTCGCTTATTTCTTTCTACAAAATATTGTAATTAATATATTAATAGCAGGTTGCTAGTAGCAGCTCTTCAGAACCTTGTACAGAAAGAAGTGAATGATGGAAAATTGGAACAGGTAGATCCGACTTGATCCAATGAATTATGGAACACTTCTTCCCAGGAAGTTAAATGCAGTAACTGAACAAAATTCCAGCATCTGTGTGAACGGCCATTGAGCACCATTTTCAACATTTTTCACTAATACGTCTTTAGAAGATGTGATGACAACAGTTGTTGATTTTAGGGTTAAAGGCAGTGGTGTATTTGGTCAGAGCTATGGTTTCGTTGGTATACACGACACACACTGTAAACCTCGTGCTCTAACTCATACAAACAAACGGAGCTGTATGTGCATGTTCATGACGATTAGTTTTGGCGCTCAAAGTGCGCTTGCATAGAAACGCAACCAACAGACCCTGTTGGAAAACACTGTTGAACAGCAGTGGCTACACCAAGGACAAATCACTCAAAAGTAATACAACGCTGCTGAAAAAGTAATACAACGTGAAAAAAGTAATACAACTTTTTAGTGAATTGCCCCTTGAGCTACGCAGCCAGCAATTTCACTGCGATGTTTTTGGGCGATATTTTTCAATACAAAAACTGATTCCAAAGATTCTCCTCTCCATTGGGGAATTTCTCCAAACAAACTTCAAATTTAACGTTCCATATAGCAACAAAAATGATTTTTTGGCATACGTTTTTCATTTCCGGCTAAAAAAACTCTCGAATTCTCTAAAATTCGGAAGATATCAATAAACGTACATTTTGAAATAAATCTCCTTTTCGTGTTCTTTTTTTCAAATATGAAAAATGGTCTAAAATTTGCATAAAACAATCCTTGATTCAAAACCATATTAACCCTCTAATGCATACAACCGCCTCTAGACGGGCAACATTTGAATGCCTGTAGAACGTAAACCGTACATCGGATCACATTGCTTCAAAGGGAATTTTTATTCGTCAATGTTTTCTCTTCATTTTTGTCTGTGGCAATATTTGTCTATGTAGTGTGATTGTAAAGTTATTAACAAAAATGTGTGCAAAAACAAAAATTTGACAAAATAAATTATTTGGTTTCCAAATTAGACAAATTTTTGACACTTTTAAACAATGGATTTGATTGTTCTCTGATTTAGGTCAATCGCATTTTCTGACTAAACCATGAGGATTATGAATATTTTTTTGATTATCTATGGCCAAAAATCAACCAAGTACCAGTACTCCCAGCCCTGGGAAAAATTAATGCATTAGAGGGTTAACTGAATGTCCGAGAATGAAAACGCAACTTCTATTCACAACACATATAAGTGAAACAAAAATAAAAAAATTTATTGAAATGAAACAACAAAATCGAATTTTTTCAAAGTGTAACAACAAAAAATTCGATTTTGTTGTTTCATTTCAATAAATTTTTTTATTTTTGTTTCACTTATATGTGTTGTGAATAGAAGTTGCGTTTTCATTCTCGGACATTCAACTAATTTTGAAATTTAATGGAAAATTTATGTTTCCTGATTTTTCCTGCAACGTTATTCGGAGTAGACAAAGAAATTTTTTGCGTACTACATGAAATGCTAAAAAGGAGATCACTTACCATTTCGATATCAACTGAAAATATAACAATATAATGTAAGTGATCGTGTTCAATATATCATATAAAACAGTTCAACACAACAAAATGATTTATAGAATTCACTTACCTGAAATGCAAGGAAATTGTTTATTCGTTAATTTCAAAACAATCACTTTGACGAAATGTGTCTTTACAGTATTTAAAGCAGTTGCCAGTTGCTCTGTGTTATATAAAATATAGAGCAGAAATTATATATATATATATATATATATATATATATATATATTCTTTTTGGCGTCATTGATGCGATCAATACCTGGATAAAGAGTTAACCAAATTTCATCATAACTTTCATCAACTCCTTTCATGTTGAAATGAGCGAAAAAGTTTTTGCTTTCAATTTGTGACCAAGCAATAGAATTCGCATTAATACCAATACCGACATTGCTGATACATAACCCAGACTTTCTTATATTGAATACTGCTCGTTTTGATAACCGTGCAAATGTCGACACAATGTCTAAAAATAAGATAAAACAGAGATAAATTAACTAAATTCTATTTTAATGCAAATTACTTACTGAAAAAATCTTTCATGCATAGTTGATCCGACAATATTCCTTTGAATTTCATGTTTTTTTGTTTGTCTGTTTCGATACTGTGTTGTATTCCGCCGGCAAATATTTTTGACAACTAGTGGTTGGTTTACATTCGATAATTCAAAACAAGGCTTAACTATTAAGTAAAGGAAGTATTTAAACAGACTACTACATCGATTATGAAGCCGTTGTAATCATTAGCCATTTTCTTTTCAAACTGATGGCAGGTGTGCAGAAACAGCCTACAAAATATCGTTGAAGCATTCTTATAATATTGTAAAAATATTTGGTTATGAAGAGAGATTGGATGAATCGGGAACAGAAGCCAAATCAATAACAAGATTAACGAAAAAGTTGAATATATGTTTTAAAAACAAAATGAGTTGTTTAAAAATATAGCGTTAGGTAATCTACTACTATGAGACTTGTAGTACGAGTTTAAATTTAGTTTTATGAGGTTGGCACACCAACGTATTTTGAATTTCGCTAGGCACGCATCTCTTTGTGTGTGACTTCACAGTGACAATTATGTGAGATAAGTATTGTAGTGTCTAACATATTTGAGCGTAAAAAGTTGATTTTTCCAAGTCAATAAATGTATTAACTTTGCACAAATATGCATTGTAACAAATAACAGTTTTCATTTGTGAATAAAGTTTGTATGTAAAAGTGAATTGAAAATCAAATAACATTGAATAGACGAAAAAACAATGGAACGGTGAGTTGAAACGCAAGCCTGCAAATAGTTTTAACGAACATCCAAATTATAAAGTAATTTTTCAAAACACTGACGATTAAAACATCGTCACGTTAAACTCTTTATTGAATGGAAAATACTCCGAAAAACTTCTGAGTCAATGGCTTAAATTATATTCACGAGCAGCTGCACCGTTTTTATATACACTTTGCGTATGCACGCACACTCATACGTATAGAAATATTGAGACGTATAACGCCGCTTGTTGATTTAAAAGTTTAACGTTTTATTGCATACTCACTAATATTGACTCACTAGATATCTAATGGAAGACGACGAGTCAGCCGCCGAGGATGAATTGTCCGAATTATCAGATAACGATGATGATGGATTTGGTAAAACTAAGTCAGCCAATAAAACCCGTTGGACAAAACATGAAGATGCTGCACTCAAAGCATTGGTTGAACAGTACGGTGAACGATGGGATAGTATTGCCAAGTGCTTGAAAGATCGTTCAGACATACAATGTCAACAGCGTTGGACAAAAGTTGTGAATCCAGAATTAATAAAGGGTCCATGGACAAAGGAAGAAGATGAGAAAGTAATTGAACTTGTTGCTCGCTATGGTCCAAAAAAATGGACACTGATTGCCCGACACTTGCGAGGCAGGATTGGGAAACAATGTCGTGAAAGGTGGCACAATCATTTGAATCCAAATATCAAGAAAACAGCGTGGACAGAGGACGAAGACAAGATAATCTATCAAGCTCACAAGCAATGGGGAAACCAATGGGCCAAGATTGCAAAGCTACTACCAGGCCGCACTGATAATGCAATAAAGAATCATTGGAATTCAACAATGAGGCGTAAATATGAGTTAGGCGGGCTACCACGACGCAGTAAAAATAATTCACTCAAAGTTAGTTATACGCTGATAGTTTTAAGATTTGCCAATTGAATGACTTATTGATAAATTCTATTACAGTTACAGCAACAACAAAATTCACAAACTGTTCAATCAAATACATTGAAAAAGGAAAACGATTGGAGCCTTTCCGACAATTCAAATCATTCTCAAATTGCTATTTCAACACAAAAGGGTGACTTTTTAGTTGAACAAATAAAAAATGGTGGTGGGGGAGAGCAATCAACGTACTTTTTGTCACCAATAAATAGCAACAAGGCCCTATCAACACTTCGACGAGGCAGCGACGCCTCAGTTGATCTTATTGGTAATATTATAACCAGTTTTATTATTATCTATAATATACTCATCAAAGTATCAAATTTTCAGACGAGAACGTTATCGGTTTGAGTCTTCAAGAGATTCTGCCTGACAATAACAATATCAAAACCGAGAAAATGCTGGTCGCAAATCCACCAAATATTTTAAAAAGATCTAAATCTATAAAAATTCAGAATGCTGTAAGTACTCGACTTTTCTGTTCTTTGTTAATACAATCGATAGAACTCATTCCGAGAATAATGTATTAATACGTTAATATCATATTTGAGAAAAACATTTTCTATCATATAAATATGACTGCATAAATGTGCACTATTTAGTAATATATAAGAAAGAAAAAAATGGCAACGACTTTTGGGTGACTTCATGATTTTTCGGTAGGAATAGTTGTATTATATCCCAGAATGATTGATGTAGAATGATAAAAATGAAATATCTACTAATGATGTTTCTGCCATTTAATTCGAAAAAATCGTCTAGTCTTCGTGGTCATTGTCATTGCTTGGAGTGTTAGTTTTTTCTATGTCATATTTCTTGTTTAGATTTTTGAGAGCTAGCATTATTCCATGTGCTCAGTAGTATTATGTCAAAGAAATTGGGAATTTTTCAGAACTTTCCTTCGCGGTACAGCACAGTTACCAGGGTATCGTGCTTGTAACATATCTACACACGATGATTGTTGTCGATTAGCTATAAGGTGACTTGGGGATTCTTGAGGCATATTTTTAAAGTAAATTTTGATGCAGTTGGGTGGATCTATTGAAATGTAAAATAGCGTTTCTTTGGTGAAATTGATTCCTTAACCCTCTAGTGCATACATTTAGACGGGTAAAATTGTAATGCCTGTATAATGTAAACCGTTCCTCGGATCACATTGCACCAAGAAGAATTTTTATTCTTAAAGGTGTCCTCTATAATTTTGTCTTTTGCACTATTCGTCTACATCAAGCGGTTATAAACAAGAATGTGCGACAGAATCAAAATTTGATAAAATAAATTAATTCCCTTCATAATTAGACACATTTTTGACACTTTTAAACAATGGATTTGATTGTTCTTTGCTTTATGTCTATCGCATTTTCTGACTAAACCATGAGGAATCCTGGATTATGCATACACACAAAAAATGTCTATAAGAATCTACACGATGATACCAATCAAAATTGGATTTATATTACTAATCGTGTAAAACGATGAAATATCGTGTAATTTCAAATAAATCAATGTATTGGTCAATACTTTTACCCGATATACGCATCTGCTAAATGTTTGCGTTAACTTTGAAACATTGAAAATTACACGATATTCTAACGTATTACATGATTTGTAATATAAATCCAATTTTGATTGGTATCATCGTGTAGATTCTTATAGATATTTTTTAGTGTGTATTTTCTAAATTATCAATGGCCAAAAATCAACCAAGTACCAGTACTCCCAGCCCTGGGAAAAATTAATGCACTAGAAGTAACCCTCTATCTTTATTCATTCATTGGAAAGGCAAAAAAAGTATTGAACAGTCTCTCCGCAGCTATTTTTGACTGTGCACAAGTCATTTTGAACAATTTTCATAAAATCACAAGCATAGATGCTGTCAACACAGAAGAATAATGGTATAAAGTCAGGTGAATTTCATAAAAAAACAGATGGAATGAGCTCAAAATTTACAATTTTTCCTACGAAAGTAGGTCAACAGACTTTTCGAAGTCCCTAGTACCAGATATGCGCATGTGTACTAGGGTAGCCCAAAAGCCAAAAGTTTCAAAATTCGTAGCTGATTCAAAACCCCTGATTCAAAAATTTGGGCCGAAAAGATAAATTTAAGCCATTTTCCGACATACTTTTGCTACTAAAATTCACCTGCACGGAAGCTATCCAGTTTGTAGGGGAGAAAAAATCCATAAATTGAAGAATATTCGAAAATTTTGGTGCAATATTAATTATACTGGCCAACAGATGACTAAGTCTTACTACTGGCGTCCAGTACTACAATTTTAGTCAATATCACAATACTGTAAAGTGCAATACTGAGCTGTTATGTTATACGCCCAAAATCGATCGAAATTGCACATGCTTGCTACAGACAATTTTATAAAACCTCAAAATCAGAATTTTCAACTCATTTTTTGGACCTATATCGAGTCAATTTCTTCCATAGAATCCAAATATGACCATTACCAGCCAATCTTAATGCATTTTATTGTCAATAAATTCGTCGGTTTTCACTTTTGATAGATTTTTCGCTAAGTAGCGCTCTCACATCGGATTTTTAACAAAAACATAAATGGGCAAAACACCGAATTGACGGAGAATGACTAAAATTTTTGATTTAGACCTTCACACAGTGATTTTACACGTGTCAAAATGTTAAAGTACTGAACCAACTACGGAATTGCGTCAAAAAAGGTTCCGTTTAGTTGAAAAAAGTTTAGCGATTTAGAGGGATGTGTATTTCCAGAGTAGAATAATTGCAATTTGGCCTGCCCGATCTGTCAAAATAATATTTCAAAATTATTCGTTAATCCTTACCATTTTTTGCCATGAAGAGATATTGCAAAAACCAACGCGTTCAAATCGTGGAATCCCACCTTCGTGGTTTCAATGGGTCTATTTTTCAATTTACAAAAAATCAAAATATCATGTTAGAATCCTGCTTTTTACCTCTCAAAAACAAATTTTTCTCGTTTTATTTATTCTTAAAAGTTTTTATCTTAACTTGAGCCGAAAATTGGCCCAAACAACAACATCAAAATTCCGCACCGTTTTTGAGATATAGCCAATTGGCCGTTTTTGGCCATCATGGCCAACTTTGGCCAATTTTACAAAAATGGCGTTGACAAAAATTGGGTTTTATACTTTAAAATGACAGCTATGGGCACTGATTGTATAGACAACTCGATTCAACAATGAAATGACCATATGACCTTGAAAAATCACCAAAGAACAATTTAATCAGAATCTCGTTTCATAAATGTCAGACAATTCAAGTACCAAATGCGTCAATCCTTAAATTTCTCAAAATTGGACCATTGTTTTGACTTTTCCGCGGATCAAGCCATTTGTACAAAAATGAAAATGAAATTTGGCCTCTAAAAGAGACCACGATTAAAATGCACATGTCGTTTGCATAATATTCACTTCAATACATTAATGGTATGGATCGAACTACAACATCCAATAAAGATTTACGCGTGCGATTTTACGCGTACCTGATAAGAGATAATGCTTTTTTAGGTTTCCGTATTTTGCGTAACTGATAAAAGATAAGCGATATTTGCCCTCAGGAAATTTGTAGGGCACCTTGAATTTTACAACTTTACCGAAGATACCAAGCCTCTTATCAGTTACGCGAAAAAAACGATTTTTTCTCATCACTTTTCGCGGAACTGATGGAAGATGAGAAGATGGTGTCTTTAAAAAAAATTTAGTGCTTGGCCTGTTTTACAACTTTTCTAAAGACACATATCATTTATCTCTTATCAGTTCCGTCAAAAATGATGGCATGCATCACTTTTTTATTTTTATTTATTTTATTTAACACCACCAAGCTCTGGCTGAATATATTATAATAGAATGTGGCCGGAAAAGAGTGCAAGACTGTTACATCAATTAGTATTTGCTTACAATGATTAATAATAACAATAACTATCAGTTCTCGCCTCGTTAAAAACCTGGCTCTTTTCGTAAACTTTTTGCATTTACACAAGTAGGACATGAAAACAAAAACACAGTCGAAGATGGAAATGCTTGATATTAGTCCGATAACAAACGGTCCAAGATAACCTTTGGTAAACGTTTCCAAGGGACAAAGGCTATGTGAAGCGTTTAATTACGCGTTAATTTGAGACTCTAGGACAGCAAAAGTCGTCGCTCAATTTATACCGGTAGATAAATTGACGAGAAGTTTTACGTCTGTAAAGGCAGATCCATGTCGATTGCAGAGTGGCTTGAGTTAATCATTAAACCACTTATTCCCATAAAAATGCATAAAAATATATAGGGGTCCAGCCAGATCTGATGTGAGCGTTCAAAGGTTTTAAAAAAGGTCGAAATTGTTTCTTCATGTTTTGTGTTACTATGCGTATCCCTAGCTGATAACCATTAGTTATTTTAATTTTTTTCATATTACCTGACCACGCAGTTCTTCTATATGTTCCAAATTTTATGTATAATAATAACTTATTTATCGATATAAAATACAAATGAACAATTTCAGAAAATGAATTCAACAAGTTCATCTGCGCTTGGAAATTGCTCATTTATACCTGGTATCAAGCCATTAGAGTCCCCAGGAGTAACACCGATAAAGCCGTTGCCATTTTCGCCAAGTCAGTTCCTGAATTCGCCGTCAGTTAATCTTAATTTCGATAGTAAAATTCCAGCTAGTACGCCAGTCCGCAAATATAGTAATCAAAAGGTATTCTAATCATCAGTTTTTTTTTTCGATTGCAAATATACGGCTTTGAGCACTCTACATTTCCAGATATTGTTTGCTCACGTTTTCTCAATAGCATTAGGGGCATATGCGCGCATGCATATTTTATTTGATATCAACATGTTTGTACAGCAAATATAATTTTCTTGAATTTGATACATTTTGTTTTTTTCAGATTAACGAAGAAGATGCACTAGTTACACCAAAGCAGACATCCAGAAAAATGTCGAAAGAACTTTTCCCGCTTGAACCTCAAACCGTTTCTATTAAAACTGAAGAGCCAAATGAAGAAGATGCAAAACAGACAATAAACACTCCCAACACCAAGTTAGCGTTGAATGGACCACGTACACCAACACCATTCAAAAATGCTTTGAACGAAATACGCAAAATTCATGGCCAACCATATATACCGTCAAGTCCAAATGATTTGGTTGAAGATATTACAGAAATTATGAATAAAGAACGGCAACAAGATTCAACAATGGACTCTGTTTACGAAACTGATTCCAGTACAGCAGTTCAGCATGCTCAGACGGAGAATGAGCCAATAGCTAGTATATCTAATCCAAAACGACTCACGTATGAGGAATCCGATGTCAGCCAACAACAGAAAAAAGCCAAAAAATCTTTAGAAACTACATGGAATACGACGACCGACGAAACAGAAGACTTCCCTTATCTGGTTGAAACTCCGGTACGTTATTTTCCCTTTTTCACAGAAATCTTTACTATTTTTTAATTAATAGGATGAATGTCTAAATCATGTACTATTTTCAATCAATAGAGTAAAGCACTCAACTCAAATTCTGGCGTGGCTTTTTCACCACCGAGTATTGTTAAAGACACATTGGGTGATTCAGGAATGCTTCTTGACACGGATATGACAATAACAAACAGTCCGGATGCATCTCAGGTACATAATACAATAAATAAAATTATGATGCGACATAGTTGTAATGTGCAACAACTACAACAACAACCACAACAACGACAACAATATCATCAACAGCACCATCAACAAGAGCTCTATTTACATGAGCAACAGAATAGATCTGCACACCTTGTACCAAATCATAGTTTTAATTCCACCTCACGAATAAATTCTATTCCGTATGATTATAATTGTACAGAAAAATCATTTAATCGAAAAGTCCAAAGATCATTTCTCACAAACATACAAACTGGTGGAAATAGTTCATTAGGTGCTAAAATAAATAAACAACTACCACAGTTCAATCCCTACGCTGATGAAAATGATAGCAGTAGTAGATTTCAATTGTCAAAGAGCATTATCAATAGATGTAATATTGGCAGCAGCTCATTTGGAGAAGATTCATCGTGTGGATCAAATGAAATGTTCAATAGATCCCGAATATTTGGAACTGATCGAACAAATTTTATGCAGATAGATAGAATACCATTTTCCAATAGATCACAAAATGTTATTAATTTGCGTAAAGAAAATTTCCATACATTCAATATTAGTAATAATATGATTTTGAAAAACTCAAGCTACATGAGCTCAGGAAATCATGAACACTCTCAAAACTCACAGTTGATTAAAGAAAATCCGAAATTTTTAAACTATGATCTCAACGACGAGTACTGGTTAAACTTTGAGTGAGTTATTAAGAAATGCGAGGTTATTCCATCGTCTCCTTTATTGTACTTGCAACATAATTTACAAATGGACTTTCAAAACGCGTTCTATATGCTGCAAAGCGCTGTAATTGGAAATAATTTATTCTGGTTCATAGAATCAAAACATATTTATTTATTTATTCAAAAACTCATTCTTTTCCTTATTTTTTTTTAAAACCAATATTACTGAAGCTAAAGTTACGATCAAGTTGAATAATGCAAAGGAGTTTCTTGAGTTGAATGTGTGTAAATATTGAGAATATCCACAGAATGAATATTCTAGCTTCGATATGATTTCTTCAACTTTTTCAAAAAAGTTAATTTTTTTAATAAAAACTTTTAATTGGGTAGATCCATTAAAACATTATGAACGACGCAAATAATATGAAATAAAAAGAATTAAATTGTAATCCCGAACTTTTCCGTACCGTTGGCCTGCGTTGTCCGTAGGTACTTTTGGTTATTTTTTGTGAATTTTCTTGAAATAAAGGCAGTGAAAATATAATTATAAAAATAAAGTGAAAAATCGGTCACTTTAACTAAAACTTCGACAATTTTGTATGAAAGGTACCCGTAAACCGATTCTCATTGGCTTTAAACTTTCTGAGGTTTCATTTTTTGGGGAAAAAATAAGATTCTGAAAGTTTCATGTTGATCACATTTGCAGAAGTTTGGTTTTTGGCCCTCAATTTTTTCCAAGAAAATGTCGACAAAAATTGAGGACAAAAAATCAAACTTGTGCAAATGCGATCAACATGAAACTTTCAGAATCTTATTTTTTCTCCAAAAAATAAAACCTCAGAGAGTTTGAAGGCAATCAGAATCGATTAACGGGTACCTCCCATACAAAATTGTCCAAAAATCGGTAATTTTAGTCAAAATTTCAAAAAATTTGTATGGGAGGTACCCGTAAATCGACTCCGATTGGTTCCAAACTTTCAGAATCTTATTTTTCTTCCAAAAAATTTCACAGAAAGTTTGGAGCCAATCGGAGTCGATTTACGGGTACCTCCCATACAAAAGTGTAAATTTTTTGAGGTTTTTCTTAGGGCAAGTACCCCAGGATCAAATAGAAAATGGCTCATCTTCGAAGTTAAACTAAGTTTTTTGAATACAAAACTTTTGGCATTTCCGGATTTTGATTATCACAATTATTTTTTGAGTTATCGTGTTAACAAACACCAACGACAACGACAACGACGGCACACGAACGGAAAAGTGTCTCAAGTGGTTTTCTACGCGTTTTATGAGTTTTTATGATGATCTAAACCAATTTTGCGAAAAAAGTTTTCGGGACCAATTCCTTTACTTTCCCTTGACACGTTGTGTACGGAAAAGTAATAATATTATTTGTCATATCTATATAAGGATGACCGACGCACGGGACAAATCGGTGCACTCAATTTATTTCGTTAAATTCAAAATAAAATTTTCCGGTATGCGCATTAGTATGGCTGATATTTGTCGCAAACTGTCTTTAAAGCTTTGCTCATTTTCCGAGACAAATCAGCGCAACTCAGGAAATCGCCCTTAATCAACTAGAATGGCATGACAATAAATCTTTCTGGTAGCATCATTGGCGATTACCTTTCTTGGGTTGGTAACACTATAAGATTTTTTTCAATATTATGGTCCAATGAATGACTTAAACTATTTAAATAATGTCTGAGTCAGAAAATGTATGGGAAACAAGAAAAGTACGTCGATTTGCCTCCCTTTTCAATCATACTGTTTGGTAGATTTCGTTTTTGAATACTTATAATAATGATAAATAAATACACTATTTATGCCCGGTACATGTTCTTTGGGTTCATTATTACATGAAACGTATATTGTACGATGTGCATTAAATGTAAATTCGTTTTTTTTCCTCGGGGTTCAAAACTTTGGATTTTTTAATTTCAAAACAGATTCTGTTTTTATGTTTAATTGTTATTTGTGTCTGTTATCTACAAATTTTGATTAACACTATGACGGTTTTTGGGGAATCCAGGGCCCCAAGCGGAATCTAAAGTTGAATAAAAGTACTAAACAGTGTATAAACCAACCGGAGTTAAGTCTCATTGTATAGATTGAACATTTCTCTACACGAATGACATATGCACATATGCATATATGTGAGTATGTGTAAAATACAGCCTTCCGAAAAACATGTTACGCTGTTGTTCTTTGGGGACCACAGGGCCCCATGGCTATTTTATATTATAACTGGACTAGTTTATGTACTACAACTTCGCCGTAGACATCAAGTCGTTATCTCTTATCAGTTATGCGAAAAGCCGCGAAAACTTGAAAAACGCCAATTCATAGTTTCTCATTTTTCAAGGAATTGATATGAAATAATGGGATGGTTTCTATAGCAAAGTTGTAGTACTGGTCAAGTACTACAACTTTGCCACAAACACCAAGTCGTTATCTCTTATCAGTTACGCGAAAAAATTCGTGTTTTTCACGGTTTTCGCGGCTTTTCGCGTAACTGATAAGAGATAACGACTTGGTGTCTGTAGCTTAGTTGAAGTACTTGACCAGAGCTACAACTTTGCCATAGGCACTATTTCGATATCTCTTATCAGTTCCGTGAAAAAATTATAAGAAAAAACGCGTTTTTTTCGCGGTTTGCAGCGGTTTCTCGCGTATTCCGCAAAACTGATTTGGATAACAAGATGATTTTTGGCAAAGTTGTAGAGCATCTTCAGTGCTACAACTTCGCCACAGACATCAAGTCGTTATCTCTTATCAGTTACGCGGAAACCGCGAAAAGCGCGAATTTTTTCGCGTAACTGATAAGAGATAACGACTTGGTGTCTGTGGCAAAGTTGTAGTATTCGACCTGCTCTACAATTCTGCCGAAGAAACAAGTCTCTTACTTCTTATCAGCTTCACTAAAAATGAGGTGGGAAAATTTCGCGATGTTCGCGGTTTTTCGCGTTTTTTCGCGGAACTGATAAGAGATAAGCAATATTTGTTGCAGCAAAATTATAGCAAACCTTGAGTATTACAACTTTGCCTCAGATATTATTTTGTTATCTCTTATCACAGTCCTGATTTCATATGAAGTACATATGGGGCCCTGGAGTCCCCAAAGAACAGAAATAGGTAAAAAGTGTGAAGAACCGTCAAAGTGTTAAAACGTTATTACCAATTAAAATTTTTCATTTCCATACATTATTATTACATTATGATGTAGTCTGAAGTGTATTGGTTAGTGTGGTTGCATTGAATTTAATACAGAAGTTTTGCTAATAATTTGGTGACCTGAACTTTATTGTACTGTGTATGCTATCTATCTATTCCATCCAATCATTGTAATATTGTTTATTTCATGTAACGCCCAAATTATAGATTGTTATGCAATAACAAACTAGACCTGAATGAATCCTCTTTGTAGATTCTAACAGACACCGAGCGAAATGAGGTGAACTTTCTTGTTTTAACCCTGATTAAAGAACGTCGTAGATTTTTGCAAAGTATTGGCGGTGCCAAATTTTGTCTCTCTCGCACTAACTGCTGTCTTACCTCGTTCACGTATTAGCTGTCATTAGTGCGAGCGAATACATTGTATGTCACTGCCAGAATGTCTATCGTAATTTTTCAATTTTTTTCAATTTTTTTCAATTCAAAGCAATATAAAATTTGGTTTTTATAGTCCAAAATTAGACCAAATAGAAGACATTTTGACATAAAAGTTTGGGGAATTTACCAATTTTTGAAGTACAAATTTGCATTTTCCACTTGATTGTTCGGATTTAATCAAATCCCGTAAATTAAATTTTTCTATATTTCTCCCACAAGTTTTTTTTAGTGAAATAATGAGCAAAACCTAGTGAAATGTTATTTTTTCCCATTTTCAATGAAAAAGCATTCTCTTCTCTTTATATTACTGATGTTTCAAAGAATCAAGAACTGAATCCTAAGATTTAATTAAATCCGCGTATTTAATTACAATTCTGCATTTCAAATTTCTTAAAAAATAATTTCATATATGAACTGAAAATTTATGTCAAAAGTTTTTGTTTGGGGTCGATTTTATTGCGATAGCTGTACAATTGTGTTGCTGAGCATAAAAATGGGAATACTGATCTGTTATAGCAAGAACCGAACATGAAAAAAGGGTTTCTTGAAAACGCAACACGAATCTTCAATCAATGAGAATGTAACATGAGCTACGGTTGCTACAGTATTCTTTTGAAACGCTTCAGTGTGCGTAAATTCATGTTGCGTTTTTAAGAATCTACTTTTCCATGTTACGTTCTTTCGCATATTGCTTCTTTGTTATATTTTTTCCATTGTTCTGTTCATGTTGCATTTTTCAGTTTGACTTCGATGTGCCGATAAAACCAATGGATTTAGCACACAGAATACTGTATTGAAATCGAAAAAATTTAACTTTTTTTCGATTTTCGGTATATTTACCAATATTATTTTATCGGCAATACGACGTTTTCAACACAACCGAAAATCGAAAAAAAGTTAAATTTTTTCGATTTCAATACAGTATTCTGTGTGCTCAATCCATTGGTTTTATCGGCACATCGAAATCAAACTGAAAAATGCAACATGAACAGAACAATGGAAAAAATATGACAAAGAAGCAATATGCGAAAGAACGTAATATGGAAAAGTAGATTCTTAAAAACGCAACATGAATTTGCGCTACTCTTTGCACTTTGCACTTTGCGCGTCAAAAGAATACTGTAGCAACCGTAGCTCATTTTACATTCTCGTGTTGCGTTTTTGATATACCCTTTTTTCATGTTCGGTTCTTGCTATAACAGATCAATATTCCCATTTTTATGCTCCGCAACACAATAAAATGTTCGCTAAGCTTTGAAAAAATAGAAAAAATAAAGGCGACTTTTAATTAAATCCTGAGAACATGTACGGGTATTATTAAGCCATATCTGCTAAAAAGATATTAGAAGCAAAAACGAAATTCAAACGCATATTCAAAAGACAATTGCCTAAACTGGAAAGACTGAAATATTCAAGCGACAATTTTTAACCAAATTTAACCACAATAACTCTTTTTTTTCAGTTATCCGATTGTTTTTATATTTTTAAAGACGCATTTTTGTTATAAAAATAATTTATTTATACGATTTGCCGTCAGCATTGTAATATTCATTGTCTTGCTGCAATTGAATATTATGCTCAGTTTTTAATAAATAGTACGAAAGCGGTTTTAGATTTTAATGAAAATTGATAGTAAGAGGTCAAGAAATGATTGAAACAGATAAGAATTTTTTATCTATAAAATTATTTATTTCTTTTAGGGGAAACGTTAATGTTCCTACATAATTCTCCATGTTGTATTCTCTCAAAGTTAGGGATTTTTTTTAGTTTCGTGATTCTGTTTTTCACTCACTCACGAATTCAAACAGCGCGGTAGTTAGGGCATACAGTATCAATA